ATACTTTTATGTACTGTTTTTGATTAAAATAGAAATACCATGCTTATCTAACGTATAATATATGATTAAGCTTTAAGATTCTTCGCTAACACTTTACATTCATATAATTTTTACACTAAATTTCGTACATAAGCCAGATATAAATAAAGTAATCATTAATGCCGTAAAAGATCATATACAAGACCCGGGTCTGTTACATTTCACCGATTTTAAAACCTATAGTAGACCCGGATCTAGTACACAGCTGAGCGTTTATATTGTAGCAAGATAAATTCTAAAGTATATACAGTACATAGTTTGCATTTGTAATAAGCGTCTAGGCTTTTAAAAACATCTGCATTTATTTAATAGAGTTCTTGTGATTCATACACGGGTCTAATTCATAGAGGATCTGATATTTTATAGTTATTGTATGGGTTGTAGTGAATAACCCAGTTACACACGGGTTCATATTCCGTGCCGAAGGCACGGGATTTAAATATTAACAATCCCGTGCCAATAATAAGTAAATGAAAAAAGCACGGGTTGTCACATTAGACCCGTGCAATATGTGATCTTTTACAGTAATTATCGGAAAGTATTTGCTAAACATGTACGAAGAATAAAAAAGCATTTTTTATTATAACTACCGTACTTTATTGATTTATTATAAATTTGGTTCAAAATACATTTTATTTATTATTTATTTATTCTCTTTATGTAAACCTTTAAAATCAGTGTAAACTTTGGTTTATTGTTTAACAACGCAATTACATATATATTGCATATGGCATGTCACATGACTCTAAATTTTTGGGGTGGCTTAGCTTACTCTCGTTATCATAAGGGTCAAAGTGTCGGCTTGTTGATAACGCTGATGCTTTTTATAATAATCAAGTCGTTAAACAATTTTGCACACTTTTTTTTCACTATCATATTACTGTATGTTTACGTGATCAGAATAGTAGGGTTGTTAATGGAGTACTCCAGGCATTAATAAAACGTATAACCCACTTCTGGAGTGCTCCGGAGTGGGTTATATACTTTACTATTGACTGGAGTGCTCCATTAACAACCCTACAGAATAAAATATGTCTATTTTTATTTTATTTTTACCTGATTCTTTTCTTTAATCTAGTTACACTCATAGGTACAAATATTTGGAAGCTATCACTTAAATGCCAGATCTATATGGGGCGCGGTCAGTTAAAAGGGGGCTTATGGCTATTTTTCCATTTTGAGAAAATCACATTTCAAATTTGGTGTAACAATAACAATGACAATCTATAACCTGTTACCTTTCTATGACTCCGCAGCAAGGATTTTTGCCATTAGCCCCTTTTAATTGGCCGCGCCCCATATGTCGTGATCTAATATCTGCAACTAGTATCCTCCAATGAGCCGGCTCAAATAGGCTTATCCTACACCCATTGGCCTATTTAAGACTTATTTGTTTTATAAGCCGTATAACATATTATATATTCAAGAATATTGTATAAATTATACAAATAAGTGATATTTTTATTATTCGATATAGTATAAAAACTAAATAAGCTTTAATGAGCCAATGGGAATATTGAGTAAGCCTATTTGAGCTGGCTCATTGGAGAACACTATCTACAATTTTAGTTACACTGCTTGTCTGCCCAAAATAGTATTTCGGTAACATTTCGATTCAGAAATAATATTAATTTAATTTCTTTCCTAAGAAAACAAAAAAGAAACACGTATATCGCATATTTATATCAATATAAAAATCGGAATTTTTTTAAAGAAATTGATCTTCGGTACGATGGGATTTACCGAGAGTAAGCATTTCGCAATCAAAAATGGTTGGTAGAAAAACCTTTGTATTGCATGATTTCGTGTAAAATATCTACTGCAACTTCGGAGATGGAATGGCATATACCCGTGATTTAATCATTGCTTTACTAGTATAACAATTAAAATAAATAACAATAAATTATTGTTGTAATTCAATCGTAATTACGACAATCCCAACCTTTTTATCTAAATCATTGAGTATTATCAAATTTGGAAGAATGAATAAGAATTTATATAACTAATGAAATAGAAAAGTCGTCTGATTATATAAACACTCCTGATTTTTTTATTAATAATTGTACTACTCTAAATAAACATTGGGATTGCAAGTACGTATAACAAAGATAGTATTGTTCTTATAATTAATTGCGATTTCAATTTTATATTTGTACGACATTTAAAAGCTCTTTGTATTTCTTTGTTTGAATTCTTAATATAAAATTTAAATTATGCTCATACATTAGTTAATAACTTCCTGTATCAATAATAAATTCAGACTTTTTGGAAAAGTTATTCGTATGATATTTTAAAAAGCTCTCTTTTATATCTTAATAACAAGTGAAATTCATAACAAACGCGAAATAGCACACGTCTGCATATTATTTTAATTTTCTGAGCTTATATTATTACTACGTTATAAACCTGCTAATATACTATATGAAGTTCGAATTATTTCGAGATACCTTCACGTACGTTATTTGAATATTGCATGCTAGTTTTAAAAGATCGATTTTTAAAATAGCGCCCATGTTGTTATTTTGCGGGTTTACGATAGCAACTTTTTTTTACAGATTTATTATATAAAATGTAATAGCCTTCTATAAAGAACTTGAATTTTTTTACTACAGTATAAGTCAAATAACAAAATGTTCATTGTATTATTGTATTATTTATTCATTACCTGGTTAACTTTGATAAAACAATTTTTCAAACAAAGTTATCAGTACTTCCAATTTATCATTTTTTCCGCTCTAATTATAGAAATTCCAAATTGGGATAGTTTTACTGGATTAAGTCCAAAATTGGAACAGATGATTCAGATCGCATAAAAACGTGTTTTTACACGTAAATCATTTTGAAATCGGATTTGATAAATACTGAAATATATAGCAATATATATATAATTTTTTACTTAAAGTTCATTTTGTGGATCGTTTTGCTCTTATTACTTATGACAAACTTTTTATTGAATAGGTATCTATTCAAAAATCAAATAAAAATTTTTTTCAAAAAATTGTAAAAAAGAACTATTTAATACGTAACACCTACATCACAAGCAAAATTGTAAAGTTTGCAATTAGAATGAAAAGTTATCGATTCAAAGACTAATTTCTTTTCTAATTGGTTCTCTTTTAAGGGTTGTAAGAATTTGCTTATTTAAGTAAATACAGCGCGTTTCCGGGGAATGCTAATTTTCAGCAAATTGTTAATCTTTTGCATTAATCTTTCTCAGGCATAATTGGATAACAAAGTTTGATTGATAAGATTTCCAATGCCGTAGAAACGCGAAATAATGCCTGCCCACCTGCGCGTGATCTCAATGTTTATGTGCATTATCACAAAATAAAGGTTGGTTTCATGAAATCAGTATATCATTTGTCACACGAATAAATTATATGCAATATTGGGATGGACGTCCATTGGCGCTAATTCAAGGCACGTATGCTGTTTTTGAAGGATGTTATTTCAAAGCAATGCCAAGAGCGCATATTTCGCGCTTATATGGAATGATATTCCATTATGCATAAAGCCGATAACGAAAGGTTTAAAATCAAGTGTATTTGTAAAATTATTGTGCCGCAATGTAATTTCTTTTTCTAATCTAAAATAAATGCATTAATGCATAAATAAAAATTGGCCTTATAATCTAACATTACTTTTATTGTTTGACGAAATACCCTGATTACTATATCAAGATAACGGGGTATTTAGTAAAGATACTCTGATCCGTATGTGTACAAGCGGAAACGAAGTTTCCGCCAATACCCAACGGTTTAGGATATTTTTATTACAAATGAGGTAATTATTACATACACAATACTTGCACTATAATGGACTAGATATAAATTATAACAAAATGAGGTTCCACCCGATTGGTCTGTTTAACGAAGGTATAGTGTATTTTATTATTATTTTACCTATCTTTATAACCGATAAAATAGTTTGTCTGACAAATCGAGTGCATAACACATTTATACGATATAATCTTTTATCCGCCACTTGATTTTCAATTCATCCGACGATCTGATTCAAGAAGGGCACATAATGATCATTAATAATTATCAGTAAGGCACTGCCTGATCATATCTTTATTTAGACATGAATTTAAATATCATAGAGGACTGAATTTTGGGATGCGATGACCTTAACCACTGAGCAAGTTACAGCATTATATGATTGATTATACACTGGTTAAAAAAAAATCATATTTTAACTAAATAATAACCAGTAATATATAGTACAAACTATAACTTATTTACTATATTATATTTACTAGGCAAATATATGTAGTTTAATATATTTTTAGTTAATATATTTAAATACATTATTGAATTAGCATTCCAACTGTTATCCGGCATTTGAAATTTTACAATTTTTATGCACGAGAGTTACACAGTTATCCGAATTATTTTAAATCCGTAATTCCAAGTTAGCTAGCATTCACTATGAAAACACAGTGCCAACAAATAAATTACCTAATAATAAACTATGTAAGACTGTTTACGTATATACATGAAATGTGTAAGTATTTTTTTTCTAATGCCAGGCTTGTGACTGTACAGAATAACTCTTTCCTAATATGCATTTATTTAGTTCGATTTTACCGGGTAAAATATATCCGGACAACGTGTGTAACTCACGTGCATAAAATTTCAAATGCCGGAATGCAAAATTCAATAATATAAATCACTACGTGTTCTAATATAGTAAAGCTTTATTAATATATTTGAACACTACGATACCTTACCGGTATTTGCAAATGCGATCTGCTTGGCCGAATTTTGCGCACCTTCGGTGCTTAAGGTCGACCAATCAAATCACATACGGCAAATACCTCAGTTATTCGGCATGAAGTGCCGAATAACTATTAAATATTACATAGTGAATATATAGTAAATAAGTTATAATTTGTGCCATATATTATTGGTTATTATTTAGTTAAAATATGATTTTTTTATTTTTTTTACCGGTGATAAATGCCATCAACTGACTTATTATTCGACGAAGGCGGCAGTTAAAATGTTATTGCTGAATAAAAAAAGCAATCAAGCGGCCATTAAATTGTTTATAAAAATGCTAAATTTTTTTGCTCGTTTTCAAGTTAAACCTTTTTAAAATTTATCATACATTAACTACTTTACCACACTCAACGAATAAAAACAACTAAATTGTGGATTTTCAATAATTTCAACAACTACTCATTAATTATAAAGATTACAAACACTGCTAAAATTATTTGCTACTATTTGTATATTTTTACTGATATGAGTCATCAAGGAGGTCAACGAAATATTGCTGCACAAACAAATCAATCTTTAGAAAATTTTACTCCAGATGAACAATTTAAACACCTAACAAAGGGTGGTGATCCTTTTCCAAGAGAACAACTAATGAATGAAGAAACTCCTCAGCTCTCGGCCATTATTTTTTCCGGAATTCCATTTAACTAATAAAGTTTGTTTTCACCAATTCCTTAGAAATAAGTAGTAGTACGTAAAAATTAACAGCGTTGATATTATTTTTCTCTTTATTTCGATATTCGTTTTATTATGGGTTTTAATTATTGTTTAATTTCACTTCCAAATTCTTGTAACTTTATAGCGTCAACAATAGGAGTTAAATTCGGCATGAAAATACCAAGCACTTCCTTACGATGGTTACAATATATTACTTTAATTTATTCAATTTAAGCTTTAAAGCATGCCAAAATTCGTTTATTATATTATAAGCTTTAGAAACATTATGTCATTATAAATTAATACTACAGTATGAACTTTTTTACTTTCATTTATACAATTTAAGCTTTAAGATTATAATTAAGAAAGGTACAAAATAAAATATATTTTCTAACTAAATGCTTTCGCGTAATACGTGTTACATATAGAATATTGAAAATTATAAATATTTATGCAGATTGTATTTAATTCACGTAGTGATAAAGCAATAAGTGGTCTATTAGAGTAGAGACTATTTTGAGGGGTTTAATTTGATCCAAATAATATTAGAACCCTAAATAATATTTAATTTATTAGAATAGGCCTCAACCTAGCAGTGCATTATTCCGTACGGGTTGAGTCGGGTCGGATCGGGGGTTTAAAGATCCGGAATTGAGTCGAGTCTAAATAATATCAGAGACCGAGAAAACCTCGGAATCGACCGAAAGAACTGAAACAGAATCGAATGTAGTAAATCAACCTGCGTTATTTCATTTTGGATCGAGTCTAGTTAGTGTTACTATTGTATGGAAGAGCTTATACGAGTATAATCCAATTTTAGCATCAAAGTAAACGTTATCTGATATTTATTAAGTTGCACGCGACATGAATAACGAAAATTATTTTCGTGCTATGATAGCAAATTACTGTAAACAATGTTTGTTGTAGATAATTGATAATATATAACTGACTAACCCTAACTAAAGGGCGTGAAGCATTGGGGTGTCTAATGCATATCAATTTACCAACATAGTGCAGGTGATATAGTAAAAATCATTAATCGATTTTTTTATAATTAGCAGTGGCGTAGTAATAGCGTAAATAGTAAAAACATAAAATTTAAATTGCAATAACTCTTGAGCAAGCAAACTCACACAAATAAAATTATATTTGTCGGGTTCATTTTAGTGTACTCTTTAAGGTAACAACGCCTTTTTTTTATTTTTTTTATTGTTTGAAGCATATCGGAGGGCTCAGTTTTCATACAAAAATGTCGTTTTTGATATTTCTTGATAAAAACATCAAAAACGTAACCTTAAATCTATTGTCGATCACTATTGCGTAATACAATACGAGAAGACATTTTTGATGTTTTTATTAAAAAATATCAAAAACGACATTTTTTTATGAAAACTGAGCCCTCCGCTATGCTTCAAACAATAAAATAAATAAAAAAACGGCGTTGTTACTTTAAAGAGTACACTAAAATGAACCCGACAAATATAATTTTATTTGTGTGAGTTTGCTTGTTCAAGAGTTATTACAATTTAAATTTTGGTTTTACTATTTACGCTATCACTACGCCACTGCTAATTATAAAAAAAATCGATTAATGATTTTCACTATGTATGTTTGTAATTATATATGCATTAGACACCCCAGTGAAGCATGGCGATGGAACATGAGTTTTCAATGCAGTCAACTCTCTCTAAGTGCAAACACTCTAAGTGCAAATTCTCTCTAAATGCAACTTCGGGCCCAAGTTTATGTTTGGTATACGTTTTGTCTCTATAAATATAATTTTTCTTGATTGTTCTCTAAATGCATATTGATAAAAGTCCGGTCACAATGAATCGCACTTAGAGAATTGACTATAATTTCTATATATGGGAGACAAAAGTTCAACGGGGATTATAATTGGACAAAAAGAGAGGATAAAGATTTGGGGATAAAGCAGGTATCAAATTAAGCTTTCTCTATGATAAAAATGTAACATAAGAAACAAAAAACAAAGATTTGGGGATAAAGCAGGTGTCAAATTAAGCTTTCTCTATGACAAAAATGTAACATAAGAAACAAAAAACAAAGATATAGCGATAAGGGTTGTTTCCTATTGATTATCAAACGTGCAATATTATAATACTGCAAGTAGATATTTATACCAGCTGATCTACATGAATTTAGCACTGGCACTGCCACTACTTCTAATACGCTGTCGTCACTCTAAGCCTCCGATGATCCTACGTTTAGCTAAATTCCCATTATCATTTTAAAGATATCGATATGGTATAATTAATGTGGAAATTGGGAAATGATCAGAACTAAACAATTAAGCAACTTGGTTGGCATGAAAAAATTCTGGAACAGTTTGTTTTTTGTCTATATTCGTCACATAATATTATTATAGTAAATTGAATTTGCACTTAGGAAAAATAACGATAAGTTCAAAAGGTTAAAGAGATAATTTTCAAATCATGCAAATCTTTGGAATTCGAAAGCGCCCTTTCACCACAATATTCAGTTATTCTTAAAATATCAATTAAACTTTATAGTTGCCTAAGTATTTTATGTTTAGAGACGAATTCTACAGAATTAAAATGTATAATGTATGGCATTGAATTTACCAGGTAATTTTCGTGGGTGTATTATTTGTAACAGCATTAAAATTTATTTTTCTTAGCATACAAGTTCGATTGGCTACAATATCATGTATTGAATGGTCATAAAACCTGGCACAGAAACACCGATATGTATGTTAAAACAGGTTTTGTACTGTCAAACCTCCCAAAACCAACATGTATAGTGGACAGGTTTGTATCAGTATTGAGAGTAGTGATTCAAGCATCACAGTTTCAGTCGGTTGGCTTAGCCAGCCGACCAAAATATCGGCTAAGCGCTGGCTAATGACCCTACACATTTCCGGAATATTTCATAAACTTAATTCGACTTTCCAGAATTTATCGGAATCAATAGTTATAAATCTTGTGATCTTTAGCTGCCAGCCGGTGCAATACAGCTGGCTTAGCCGGCTAAACCGTGGCTTCCTTAGTCAGCTTAAAATCACCAATTGAGAGGTTATCAAGTTTGAAACATAAAGTTTATATGGCAGAAGCTGACTTGGTAGATTGATTTTCATCAGGTTATCGATTTTGACAGGATCAGATTGGGAGGTTCAACAGTGTAATAGTTAACGTATTATAAATTGAGGTATTTAATTAAAATCTGTAAATTTATATATTTTACGATGAATTTATAATCTTAATTTAGCTGATAAAATAGTACAGTATTGTAAATAAATGAGAAATGAATAACAAATTAAGGCAAATTAAGATTCTAAACTTTTTACAAAAATTCCCGTGGCTTCGCCACGGGTCATTAGCTAATGCAATAAAAAATGCAAATTGGGCTTGCGTGAGTGTACAATTATGGTGACAGCCGAAAATGGGATCTTCCGGGATGATCTAATCCAACACACAAAACAACCTATCGAAAGAAGGCGTGTTATATTTGGCGAGTGGGTAGTTCAAGGCTTCGGTCGTCGACACTTCGGGGTAACTCTTTATCAACAAATAACCACAGTTGTCCTCAGCATGTCGGGACATTGGACAAAACAACCACGGTAAACCTCAGTACGCCGGACAGAGTAACTTTGCTCAATAAATACAGATGATCGTACTACTATGCCACTTGGTAGTAAATCTTAGTTTATTCAGTGAATGTGGGGGTAAAGAAATAATTATGATCACCAACGATGATTTATTCTAGGGCGAAACGCCTTTATTATATACTCGATCTAACTTATGACTTATTAAAAGTCTTATTCGTGATACGTCCTTTTAACTATTTATTTTGTGCAAACTAATTATCCCAATTTTCACCCACTAATTATATATGTCATCGATATCAGGATTTCCCTTAATTCCATCATTTCCACTTTTCCCACCTTTTCCAACGTCCACCGGGAAACCCATTTATGGTAATTGATCACCATAACGTTAATTTGACGCTGCGCCCACCGAAGACCACCAAGGCTCACAATGGGCATCTGATCGGATAATCATTTGTATGATATACGTATCGATGTTACACATGTTAATGCTTTATAATATTATTTACGATTTACGTTAGTCCCTGATACTGCTCATTTCACCGCAATGTCTGGAATTTAATTTTTAAATTAGTTGTGGACCCGCAACCAATCAGAAAAAAGAAAATTTTTTGGATTATAAAAATTTATAAAAATTTAGTTGTGCACATAAACATTTACCGTAAAAAAAAATTGATAGTAGACCCCCTCTATTATACCCAGGTCTAAAGCAGGGTTAAGAATTCAGTAGAATGTAAGAGACCCGGGTTTCTTGATTAGTAATTTATATTTAACAAGAAATCTACATATTACTGTACCCCCTCCAAACAATATACCCCCGAGTACAATTCAAGTTTTTTAACCGGTGGACCTGAGTCGTCTATATGACCATTTACGGTAATCGAAATTTATACGTAGGTAAAATTTGCAAATTTATATGCGGAATCTGCATATGCATTTCAAATTTTGGTTGCGGGAATTTAAAATTTGTTGCGGTCCGCAGAACCGCAATCCAATTTCAGACACTATTTCACCAACGATCATTTCCCGAAAGTTCGCTTAGCCGACATCACATAGGGTTAGGTTGGCGCTTTATTAGTTGCAGGTATAAGTAAATTGTCACTTAGTGTGATATCGGCTAAGCTGTCGGTGAAGGCGGATCCCTTCGTTTCTTGTTATGTTGTACGATATACTTCTGATACCACACGCATAACAGGAAGTATTTAAATAACTATAAAGTACATACGTGTATAATTTTTGGTGCAAAAATCAAAAGTAAAAATGGTAGACGCCAACCAGTACATTAATCAAACTTTCCCCTATCCTAGTGTAAATAGAACTAGCGTGACAACGTTGGATATTAGTAATAAAAATCTAATAAACACAATAAATTTAGGGCCTACAGAAAATTTTACTAATCTAGAAACATTAAACACTTCATTTAACCAAATAAGTTTTTTCTCGTTAGGACAACTACCTAAATTGCAGAACTTGGATTTTTCTCATAATCTCCTCTCTTCTTTCTTTATGAAAAACACTGACCTATTGCCTCAACTTTCAATAATTAATCTTTCTCACAATCTTTTAAGTGATATTGGTCCGGGTTCTATTAAACTTACTCATCTTGATATCAGCAACAATTCATTAACTACTTTAGATTTACAAGATTGTAAGAACTTAATTACATTAAATTGTTCGGGTAATCCTGATCTTTCAAATTTGACTTTAAACTCTTTTTTTGATCCTACCGATTTGAATGCTTTCGATTGCCGGGGAACCAGTATTGGTAAAGTTAATACTACTTCTTTCATATATGACTGTCAAACTGGTACTAGAATTCAGAAATCTACTACAAATCCAGCTGTTGTGACTGTAATAGATCAGCAAACTATTCAATCGAATAACAATAATAGTTTATATATTGGAATTGGTATTGGTATAGGTGGAATTATTTTAATCGCAATATTGTCTATTATTGGATTTTTGGTTTATAAAAAGCGATCTAACGATAAGGAAATTCTCAGAATATCGGGGGGTTATAAATAACGATGGATATTGTGTATGAATAGTCACAGTTGTGATAGAAACAGAATGAAAGACATGTCTTTGTAAATTAATCGAGTATGATATATTTGTATAATATGGTTAAATTTCCTTGTACTGTAATAGAAATCTCGGATTTAATCCGAATGGAAAAATCGTGGAACTTTTGCGGAACTATTCTCAATTACGGATCCATCCGGATTTTATTCTATAATGACAATAGCTGATTTGCTAGTGCAAGTAGAACTGGTCATTTAGCATGATTTAGTAGGCCTAAACTAATAAACTGACGATAATTTAATAGGCTTATAATAAAAAGAATTAAATCAGAGATTCGGATTAAATTTATAACTCTATTCAGTGTCTAATCCACTAATTAGTCTACTTTTTTTTTCAAGAAATTTAATAACTACGTAATTAATACATTAAAAACTTGTCTTGTGAAATTTTAACTTAAAAATTTTCGCGAAATACAGTACAAGTATTTTAAATACATATGATTTTGATTACTAATATTCGATTATTTGAATAATCTTTTCAGGATCAGAAATCGCTTAAGGTGTTTCTGGATTTGAAATACACTTAAATAGATTCTAGAATTAACAAAATTCCGAATCCACCTACAACATTCGAATATTTGGGCTAGGTACTGAGAAAAGTGACAAATTAAAAAAGTAAGTTTTGCGGAAATTTGATTCTTATATTATATAATTTATATTACTGAATTTGTCATTGAAATCTAATTACCAGATTACAAGATATTATAAATTAAAATCAAATTTTGTGTAATATTACAAACTAGTAAAAACCCGTGCTGTTGAGCACGGGTAAAATTAGGGTCGTTAAAAGTCCAATCTTTTCAGTCTGGACTCCGTAAATAGGGACTTTGATAAGAAATTGATTCTTTAGTTGAATCCATGTTGTTAGTGCCATAGTAAATATTCGTGAATCTGAATATTAAATTAATAAATGTTCTTAATTCTCATGCACTAAGTTAATGCGAATATAATGAACTTAAATGGTAAATGTTCATGAACTTAGATATCTGTTTTAAACTCTCAAATCATAATACTATACACCAAATTCATGTGTATAATGGTAAATATTATGAACTTAGATAGCTTAATACTCATTATATTCACAATCTAAAACAGATTACGAATAGTAAACAAAATTGGAATAACTTACTTTGAATATTTAGGTTAATAAATTCTTTTTATACTCATGCATTAAATTATCGCGAATAAATAAACTAATTCACAGACTTGAATAGCCTATTTTGAAGACTTAGATTTATAAATGTTTTCTATGCTCATGCACTAAAATACTGCGAATAAAATGAATTAACTGGTATGTAAATATTCACGAAAGTGATCTTGATTAAATACCGAGATTAATATAAATATTTTTTATACTCACATACAAATATAAATAAGTAGCAAATATTCATGAACTTGGGTAGTTAATTAGAGTTGTTATCTACTTGGATGTCTCTTAAAAGCCATGGCTCTAGCTTGAGCTATGCTCTTGGAGAACGGTATTTCAAAGTCATGTGATATTATAATAGTTTAAAAATAATATAAGCCATTCTTTACAGAAACCTATGTTTTTTGCTAAATATGGTTACAATATATTTATTATATATTAACAATATTATTATTATAT